GCTTAGGGAACAAAACTAAAAGAAAACTTTGGTCATCTGTGAAATCTTGGCTGGTGCTGCTGAAACTCAGATTTCGTTTTTAAGATTAAATAATGCAAATTATAAAAAAATCAAGACCTAATCATTAAGACTAGGTAAACTGTGTAACTAATTTCGGGTGACGGGACATCGGTTGCAACCATATCTAGTCGGGGCCCAGCAGATAAATGAATTTGACAAACGATGCTGCTCGCATAGGGTCAACATTTAAAAACCCACCAAATATTTATCAGATGTAATGACAGGAAGTGACAAAATGCATTGGTAAACTATTTGTTATAGGGTTCCTGAAAAAATAAGAAAGAAAGATTGAATATGGAAAGCTAGACATTTCTACACTCCCATATCTAATTTAGGATGGATAACTAACTTTGCATCCACACGGTTCAAGTAAGACTTACATATACCGTTAGCAGCAGCATGGATAGGACTGGAACTACATATAGCTCGCAATCAACTGATTTATTCAGTTTTATTATGGTTTTGTAAAATAGTTAAATAACACTTATTATAACAGTAACCATAGTGTACAAGCTTTCCACAAATGTATTAAGTAATAATTTAGTTACTTTTGTAAGGCTGCACCTGACAGTTAAGAGACAAAAAATACTTTTTGTTTCATCGATTAATTTTTTCTTGCGTTACATAAATACCTGTCACTTACATTTTTTAGATATAAAGACTGAATGTCACTTTCCTCGCCAGTTTTTGGTTGATTGAGCACCTCGTAAATATCCTGCATATTGCCATACCAATTCAAACAACGAAAGTGCCGCCGACAGTTACATAACTCAGCAACAACGTAAGTACCTAAGAAACCCATGTTAAATGGGTGCATTTGCGTTGTTTCTGAATTAGTACGACGAAGTGTGGATAATAAATTGTTGACGTAACCAAAAGATGTATTAAACACTTTCAGCTGCGTATTTTATTCATATATGTATTGGTTTAAATTCAATGGAGTCGGCTGACGAGTACGTATTTAAATTATACAGACACCGAACCACTTATCGATTTCAACATGGCAAGTGCACCTATACAGACATTAACCATTTTGCCAAGTTAGACCATTTTGATCAAATTAGATCATTTTGTCTCAGCAGGTTGAATTTTATTGGGAGAAAAGCGTCTCTCTTTACAAGGTTCGTGTATACTGAGTGATAATACCCATATCTGTAATTTAAGCGATTAACATAGCGATATTGATGGACAAATGAACATTACAGTGGACTTTAGTACTTAAATCGCCGAAATGAATGCATTTAATCAAATCGACAGTGGCATAGTTAGTCTCGTTAATTCGTTCAGTTCATGTCACAGTACATTTGTTTGGGAGCGAACAAATAAGCTACCAAATTCTAAATTACTTTCAAACATACAATTCGTACTGCCGATTCTAGTTTTTGGAATATCCACTGATGACTGGTTCACCTTTCCACGGTCGTCTGACCTTCTTCCTCTCGTACTAAAGTTCAATTCCATGAGAAAAAGAGGGCAGTTATGTTCAGTGCAATTTGTTTTCGGATCATCCAAGCTGACCGGATCAGACGAAAGTTTTACCAATACAATGGAAATATTTGGATCCGTGATGACTAGGGCTAGAACTGCTTACAAGTTTATCGTGCTCCTGCTTCCAGACGAAAACAGTTTTTCTTTGGTCAAACAATACATAGAATCTTTTGAACGCACAAGGATTTCAAAATATTACAAGCTTTTCATTGTTGAAGAAAATTGGCAACTTAATGATGCAATTTATTACTACTGCAGTAAATGTCCTGACTATAATTTCTTATTGGAGGAGCTTCGGATCGATCTCGTGGATAGACTGGTTGACCTAGAACAACTGACGATATCACTATTGTCATATTCGGAACAGCTTAATGTGGTATTCAGTGGACTGTTGGTGGTTAAGGGATACAATTGGGATCATTTGTCACACAAAACGGCTCCACTAGTTAGACAATACCTTAATCTTGCTAATGTCATCATACTATCATACTATACTAGACATCATACTATACTAGAGCAGAGGTGGCCTTGAAAACATTTAGTTTTCATGAATTATTGGATTACATACTTTTGGAAAGTGTATTCGCCTACGACCCCTTCACAAACACTACCCGAATTGTTGAAGGATATTCAACTATTTGGATTCCAACGATTAAGCAGATGAACTCGCTTCAGGCTGACCGCTCTGTTATTCTAGTGGGTAAAAAAGTGTATAGCTTTTTGACTTGCCAAGGCGTTACTTCAAGGAAAATTGGATACGGGGTCTACATTTTGCCAGCGGATGTGTGGTGCTAGACTTTAATGATTATCCTAATCCCGATCTTTGCAGGATTTGCCACGTTTCCTGTCAGGCAAAATGATCTAACCGCTGGAAAAGATGTCGTACTAAACGATTTCATAGCTATGTGCCTCTCCATTATAGGAGCACTATTGGAACGTCCTATTGTTTCTGTGCCTGAAACTCCACGGGAGCAATGCTTTTGTTATGTCTGGATTTTTGTTTCCCTAATCGTAGTTGCTGGATGGAAAGCTACATTTACGACTGACTCGATGACCGAGGCTGAATTGACGTCGCCAATTAAAACGTTCCAAGATATTTTGAATTTTACATTTTACAGTCCTATTCGTCCAGATCAGCAAATATATTATGATGATCCTAGTTCTGATCAAACATATCCTGAGATATTTTCTGTGTTTTTTAGCCTGAAGAATTCCCATGTAAAATCGAATAGCGGATTTGGCAACAAGTGCACTTACACTTGGGTGGGAAAATATTCAGACGTTGGCTTATAATTATCCCTCTCAATTCTGGGGGAATGTGACCAAACCGTCATGCGTTGGGCACGCTTACGTCGACGAGGCAGATAAGATTGAGTCCATTAAAAGGTATACCAATCAGGATAGGCGAAAGAAAGGCAGTGTGCTGTTTGTTACTATTAAGGAAAATCTCGAGGGGAGTTGGGAAGGTTGGAATTGGGTAGGGTGGACTGATGATCCGTATCAAAGGCGACTACTGATTGAAAGGCAGAAGATAATAATTTCTTCCGGGATTTTTTCCCGATGGGAGCTACTTTACAAACGGTTCAGAACGAAGTTATTCCAAGATTACGACCTTGATGAGAAGAGTCACAACATCGTTGAGGATGAAGGCTTTGGATCTAACATAATGACTGGGATGACAATATTTGGTGCATTGTCTGCCTTATCGGGAATCGTTTTTGGTTGTGAGGTAGCTTGCCAATGGTCAGGGTTATCGCATAAATGGTTACCGAAATTGGGAACTCTTCGAAATAGAGGTATTAGAGGTATTAGAGGTAGGTAATAAGGCAGCAGTTTCTATCCACATTGTAGTACGGTGTCCTGTGGAATCATTTTTTAGAAAAAAATAACATGAAGCTTAACCGAAATTGGGATACCCCGGAATTAAAAATATTCAGAGAAGATAGATTCTTTTTCCATCCTCTTAAATGTTCAAATTCGGTTCATCGTAGTTACCCGGCCTATGCGATTAAGAGAACATTGACTATGGAATATCCCGGCATGGATTATTTGTACGTCATAATTAGCTATATTTCTGAGCAAGTTGGTTAGGCTAAACATTGTGTTAGGTTTATCTAAATTAATATTTTTAGCCCAATTAAATCTCCAAAATCTCTTTTCATTCTCTTGTAAATAACTTCTCAGTAGAGTTGCCGATGAGATGAGCTAAGTGAGACACTGAAATCTCAATCTCGTCTCACTTAACCTGAGATGAGATGAGACACGTAACAACTAATAGATCTCATCACACCACCACTCATTTCATCTCATAATTAACACGTCTAATCACATTTTACCGTCATATCATCTCATCATAGATACGTCTCATCTCATTTACCGGCCATCTTATCTCATCTTATCTCATTTCTAAATGAGATCGTCTCATCTCACCGGCAACTCTACCTCTCAGAATGTATGGCGATTCTCGGCTGTCAACCTTCTGCTAAAATGGTTGATCTCTTGATAAACAAGAATCTTTAACGGAGTGCAAAATGAAATATGTAGCAAAACACATTATTTTTAGATTAGTATTTTGTTTTAAATCTTACTAGGTAGACTATTTACATGGGTGGAGCGTACAGGGTTCCAACCTATACCAAAATGTACATAATATACGACTTTTGACCTGTAGTGGAGGTAGTTCCGTGTAAAAATCACTTTTCGTCAATCTGTGACGATATTTGTGACGAGCGGTGGACGATGGTGAGAGGGGAGGAGGAGAGGGAAAGTGCGGAGGTGGGCATTCAGTGACCCCTGCACTCAAATTTTCTCGCCCTGCATCAATTATTCCCCTGTAAGGTTCACTCACCTTAACGTACTTCGGTCAAGTTTTATCCTAAAAATTTGAAACTTGGCACGAATGTACATTAACATATAGTATATCGAAATACAATATCAGTTCCGATTTTTATTTTTTAACTAAAAATTTTCAGTGGGTCAAGCGGGATCGTTTTTGGTTGTAAGGTAGCTTGCCAATGGTCAGGGTTATCGCATAAATGGTTACCGAAATTGGGAACTCTCCAGATATTGTATTTCGATATACTATATGTTAATGTACATTCGTGCCAAGTTTCCAATTTTTAGGATAAAACTTGACCGAAGTACGTTAAGGTGAGTGAACGTTACAGGAGAAAATTTGAGTGCAGGGGTCACTGAATGCCCACCTCCGCACTTTCCCTCTCCTCCTCCCCTCTCACCATCGTCCACCGCTCGTCACAAATATCGTCACAGATTGACGAAAAGTGATTTTTACACGGAACTACCTCCACTTCACGTCAAAAGTCGAATATTATGTACAATTTGGTATAAGTGGGAACCCTGTACGCTCCACCCATATAAATAGTCTACCTAGTTAGAAAATCAAACTATGAATTTATTTATCAGGATATCATACACTGATATAAAGATTATTGTGAACTGATTAACAATTTTATTTGACATGAATTAAATTGTTGTACATTTTGCAAAATTATTAAAAGAAAGCACCATTTGACAATCGCATATCAGGAATAGATAAGATTTGCATGAAACATTTTCCTTTATTCAAAAATGAGCAATTTTATCTTCTTCTTTCATTGGTCCCATGACTTTGACGAGTTTGAGTGATCTACCCGAAAGATCTCTTTCAATTCGCACGTGGTAAATTTCCGGATCAAGTCGAACTTTGACAAAAAAGTTGGTCCCTGCCACTGTTTGGGTTGCATAAGCTGAAAACAATGAAGGCACACATGTAAATATAAAAGATGACATAGAAACTAGTATATTTTGTCATATCGTCGGACTAATTCTGAAAGGGCTGAAGTGCAGACGATGAATAATTCCGAAAGGGCCTAAGCGCGCAGCAGAAAATTAATAAGGGCCTATGTGCAAGCATGTATTTACTAATGGCTAAATCGCGCGATATATGAAGAATCGGTTTGGCAAGACATAAGTGAATACATGCTTGCACATAGGCCCTTTTAGCCTGACCCAGGGCTTATGTACCCGTGTTGTCCGTCTGTCCGTCTTGCAATAACTTTAGTAAAACTTATCCGATCGACTTGAAATTTGGCACACACTTAGAACATGCAAAGTTAAGAATCAAGTTCGAAGATGAGCTTGATCGGTCAAGTGGTTGACCCGTGGGGGTCATTTTAGTCGGTATGGGTCAAGGGTCAGAATATTCAAAATAGTCGTAGTAGGCTGAGTTTTGGTACAGAGGTAGGAAATGGGTCCTAGTAGAGTAATATGAATTGAAATCTATAAAAATTTAATTTGGATGAAACAGAAAATAATGTCATATAATAATTGTAAAACTGGCACATTTTACGATATGATTTGTGTCCACGTTGCTGCAGATAGAATTATAATGGCTTTGCTCTCACATCTGCAAATCGGGAGATGTGAAGCTGCGCCGATTTTGTTTGCAGTATGTAGTTTGGGCATGTTTTTGCAACATTTTGAAGGTGAAACTTTTGTCCGCATATGGAACACTCAACTTTTTTCGGCATAGTGGCATGGGTGGAGCTGATGTGGGAGTCGAGATGGTCGTGAGAGTCAAAAATGGTTCCACACTGGACGCATGGGAAATGGATGACTGTGCTATGATCGTCACTCAGGTGTTGGTCGAGCTCCGTCTTGTCCAGAAATTTTCTATTGCATAAGCGGCAATGGACCACGGTCCACTTATGCATATCGACGAGATGTCTACAAAATTGGAGGGAGGTTAATTAGTTAATATATGAGAGCTTGAACTGTTATGTTTAAAACAACGATTATTAAATCCCTGATGACGAAAAATCAATTTCACTCAATTACTGCAAGTTGATATGATATATTGGCGTAATTTTGTACCATTTTGTCCAAAAATTTTTTTTTGAAACTGACTGTCTATCCTTGATTATGGGGTTAATTGTTTCATTCAAGATATAAGCTCTATATATTTGTTTGGGTGATTTTGCATTTTCGTTATGCAAAAAAATTAAAGCCGTCGGACATTTCATGATTTTCTAAATTATTATTTTTGGCTGGGAAACATTATATTTTTAAGGTGATATAAAATAAATCCACTAAATTAAGTGATAATTAGAGAAATTATGATTTTGCATATTCTTCGGTAATGTTTCTGAACTTAAGCTACATATTGGTGTAAAGTTATGCTTAATTTAAAACGTGAGTCCTAGTCGTGAACATTTTACCACAAACTGAACAACTTAAATAGGTCAATTTAGTACCCATGGATTTCGCGGATTTGGTACTTAGTAATATAATATCCTTCGTTTTCTTGACGACGCGATAAACTTGTTTTTGTTTAGATTTAACTGTCCAGCTATTTGTTGACGTGGCTTGAACTTGATTTTGAGGCGGACCTCCGACAAATACCTACTCATAAAAACAGTTGTCAATTAAGGGCATGAGTTTGGCTAGATTGATTAATTAACATGTGTATCCACCCATACCTGAGAGGAAGTCGGTGTAGTTGCCGAATAATCAGGAATGTCGCCGAGTGGGTCATTTCTTATGCGGGGAACTTCACCTTCCTCCACCTCCTCGTCACAGGGCGGAAGGGTGTCATCAGTTGGATACTCGAGTTTAATTGTGTGCTCTATATCAATTTCGTCAGAATCCAGGTTATCAGGATAAGTAGGTGTTGACGGAGGTATGGAATCATCTATGGCAATATCGTCATGTTCTTGGAATGCGGGGATTTTCTCCTTTAAGTTTAAAGGAGAAATGAAATTGATAAGTTAATAAAATAGGATTCGCAACAAAATAAATAATGTAAGATAAAAAATGGTTGTGTTATGGTTACTATTTTGCAAAAATATGTAATCTTACCTGGTTGAAAGTTTGTCCATTTTACTAAATCTGAAACCATGACTTCTAAAGAGGCAACTCTTTCCAAGAGAACCTCCATAGTTTGTTAATTTTGAAGTGTTTAAAATAATAATTTTATTCGGAATAAGTTTTTATGAATGTTTTCCCAGCTGCATGAGAATATGGAATGGAGCCACCACCAGGCCCGGCTCTTCTTCGTGGCCGAGTCACATTCGGATATGTGCATGAATAGGACGGAATGGGATTGTGGTGTTGTACATAAATGCATGCGTTTGTAACTTTGCTTGAAATCATGCTACATCAGTTATGTAGCTTTAGAGGTAAGGATTTATTTTGAATTGTTAAAGTTTCACATAGTTTTATGTACTTTAAAATGGTACTATATACTAAATAATAAATATTGCGTCATATACATATGTATGTATGTGGATCGTCTCAGTATGAGGAGTAATAAATTGAAGTGGTCTAGGAAAATAAAATAATATTTACAAAGACAAAGGCACATATGTAAAATTGTAAAATATGTATGTAAATTCCTAGCCATATAAATATGTATCAGGTATTGTAATCTCTGTAATCTCTGTAATATTTTTAAGAATGCAATCAACCAACTCGAATAATCAGACGTTTAATTCTTCATGCTAAGTAATCCGTAAAGATATGTAGGTAGCTGTGTATGTATATAGTGATAATTTATCGGTATTACATAGAATTGAATGTTCATATTGATTAATAACTAAAAATATGACTATAAAAATAATCGATATGTAACCAACTAATCACATAAAATTTGGGATCGATATCATGCAATTCCATTTAATCAACCTTTGGACTTGATTACAATTTCTGGTTTGCAAAAACAAATTATTTTTCAGAACAATATAGTTTCTTTTAAGTACGACGGACTAATTTAAATTAATTATGCAAGATTTAACGATTTCATTGCGGGATTATTAAAACCAAACAAAATAATTTCTTGAAAATGTAACCCGTTTGTATATACTTCCCTAGTTAAATGTATGTATCGTTTATGTAGAAGCTTGTTTTTTATACGCTAGGGCTTACATTTGCTTGATTGGTATTTTTTAGTTGGTTTCAGACTATTAAATAAGCAATACCGATTGATTAAAGATATTATTGTTAGTATTAACGTCACAGAAATATTTAAAGGTACGGTGAAGTATTTAGATTGCTGCAAGAACTTCCTCAATAGAATACATGTCCCAAAATATATTTAATTTCTGGGGAAATGCGGTATCATATTTAAAATTAGCGTTAACGTAGTCGGCATATATGGAATTAAAAATATAAGAAATTCCTGAAGTATTTTTATCTATGATAAAATGTCCACGTATTCGACACAACTTACTGAATTTTTCGGTGTTTTCCTCGCATATCATGAAATAATGGAGAAATCGTGTCTATTTGCAAAGTGTCCGTTTCACTGGGACGATAAAAATCATATTTTAAGACTGGATCATAAATTTCGTCAGCATTATAATTTTTGGATAAAAAACGGCATTACTTTGATATTTATCTTCACTCCGACTTCATTAATCTTGTTGAGATATTTTGTCAAAAAATTGGGTTTCTTGGACCCTTTCGAAGACAATGTGCCACCCATAGTGGTCACTCTTTACGTTATTGCGGCACTCCTTGTGATATCTCTTTCTGTGCTAATTATGCCGTTAGTTGTGATGGGGGATAAATTTGTTTTTGGTGAAATTCAGTATGCATTTGAAGTCTTTTGCGATTTGGGGAAATGTAAGTTGTGAATTTAAATTGTTAACCAATGATAAGAACGAAATATATTTACATGAGAGCAACTAAAGTTACTCTCGAAATAAGTCAATTAACTTTCCTTATGTTATAATTGATGTGTTTTAATAAATTTTGATTTTGATTTGCTCAGATCTAACCAAGAAAGAAAACGGTTGGAAATTAAGCTCCAATATAAACAAGATTGCTGTCTTGGTAGCTCAACTGTACGCCAAGCTTCCATTTGGCCTCACAGTGCTTTGTGTTTCAAATAATATCGACCCTTTCTATTATTTTATGCATTGGATGCCAGTTTCACTTGTGAGTTTCGGAAGTATCCTACTCAGATCTGCGTTGCTTCTGATATCTTGGACTGAGTCGTGCAGACTTGTCGCGCTCCTAATTTTCTTCGCACTTTTCGTAATTAACCTTTTGAACAGGGAGACGCACATGTGGATAGGTATTACGAAAAGGAATCGTTTCGCGGGGTTGTTCTTTTATAGGCAGATTGCAATCCTTTACACTCGCAGGAGGATGTGGGCGACGCGGATGCTGACATTGGTCTTCACGGTGGGATTTGTGATGCAGGTAGATACACACTCTATAAGTTGTGGTAACAGCGGATTACCGCCTGTACTCCACACTCTCAATAAATTTATTAAAAGCGGAGTTACTATGCGGCTCTACCGTGGGGCAACATTATAGTAACAATTTGTCCACGAGTAGTAACAACTTACCTCTATCTAACTGTATAGTTATTATGCAAACATGCCAAAATAAATGCAAACTTACCTCCGGTTTATATTACCCAAGCGGAGACAAAGGGGCCTGCGCAGGATTTAGTCTCTGTATATATGCTTCCCGTAGGAGATAAATTATTATCTAAGCGGTAGAGCCGCATAGTACCTCCGCCAGAGACGAATTTTTGCAAAAATTATTGAGAGCCTACCGCCATTGTAATAAAATTGTTACCACGCAGTACATAATAATTTGTTGTACCATCTGATATAAAAACCATGTCTTAATTGTTACAGGTGATATTCAATTATTCCACCCTCACTATGTTTGACGTTGTTCCGATCGCGGCCTATTTGACATTTCCGTATGTCGCGGGAGTTTTTGGAATTATTGTGACGCAAATTGTGGACATGGTGGCAAAAAGTTATCAGGGCTATGATTCCACTCTGAACGTCATGAAACGCGAATGTAAGGCAAGGTCGGAAATCTTGTATAGAAGGCTGAGGGCAGCGTCAGTTTTGGGGTTTCATGTCTACCTCGGTGGTAGGTCGTATGTGATTAAGAAGAGTTTTAAGATTGAGTATCGAGCTCGAGTTTTGGATCAGACGGTCTCGTTGATGTTGGCGTTTCCGGTAGATTCGTTTACATCTTATGATTAGTGGAATGAGAGATAGTTATTTGGTGAAGTAACTTTTTGGTTTGGTTTTGTAATCGAAACTTTTTGCGGAATAAACTCATTTAAATATCAGGTAAAAAAACTTCTTAGTTATACATGGGGATTGCAGACTTACAATTAGTAAAAATAATCATATAAATTTGAAAACAATTTGTTTTTTTAAATATAATTCTTTTTCGGATATGACGACATTTAATAAATATAGGAGTGTAAAACATTTGCCATTGAATGAAATATATGTAGTGCTTATTGTTGTCGTATATATACAATTTAATGTTTATTGAGATGATTGGTAATCACAAATTAAAGGTAAATTTTTCATGGCTACATACATAAATTTTAATAGTAGGCTTAAGTATTTGTTTCACCTAAGAAAAACCATTTTTCTTTGTTTGATCTTGCTTTTGTACATTCAAAATTGTAAATGAGCATACATATAGTACATAATGTAATGTTACATATTTGAAAACCAAACGGCCAACTCTTCAACTTGTAACTTCCCATCCTTGTTTTTATCCGCTTTTTGGATAACCTCATCAAACTTCAATTTCCCCTTTTCACCAAACAAGATTGGATCGAAGGCTTTCATTGCGGCGACACCAGCTTCGTATTCTTCCATTGAAATTTCCCCGTCGCCATTCTTGTCGAAATGTTTTGCAACCGTGGGACAGTATGCTTTGATATCGTGCAGGCTTTCGAACACTTTCATGATATCGCTGATAAGAATTAACTCATCTCCGCGTGGGACGCGAAAATAATTTTTGTACGCCTCGGCTTGTTCAGGGGTGTTCGGAATACCGGCGGCGTTGCAGAATACGATGTATTCAGAGTTGTGGATTGTGTTGTCCTTGTAGGATGGGAGGTTTTCCAGCATCAACTTGAGATTTCCGAGCTCTTCTTTGGAAAATGGTTTCTCTAGCATGTGTGATTCGGCCATGTCTGCGATATTTAAAAAATATACATATATTATTTTTTATGAACTATGTAGTAAACATGTAAATTTCAATTATTTCTTAAGATTATGAACTGTTATATAAAATTTATTAAAGATTTTACCTTTTAAGTAGGAAAAGAGAGGTTGCGTACGAACAGGTTGAGTACGAACGTAACACAAAAAATCAACTGAAAAGTAAAGTGTGAACTGCGTAGTTATTTAGAGTTCGAATGCTTCAGTTTATTCTAGATTTCTTGATTACGCTTGGGAATGGAATTGAATACTTATTTACTGTAACATTGTGAGCTAGGATTCCATTAGGGACTAATTAAAACTCGATTCCGGTGCTGTAATATGACGCGATTTAACAAGAATCAAGGAACTTTTTTGTGTAAAAAGTGGGCTAATGTCAAACAATGTCATGGTCATGGAAACATTTGGACAGAACTGAGAAATTCTTGCGTTAATTAGGCAGGATTAAAGATCAATTAGAATTTTTGGCGGATTGCCGTAGAGATGAAGGAGCAATAAACGGAGTTCAAGTTTGGGTACAATTGTACAAAAATGTTACGAATGATTGGATTAAGAAAAAAAATACTCAGCCGACATTTGTTTATGATGGCATCGATTGAAAAGAGGGCGAGTCAGTGTGAAGTATTTCGCACTTCCTGTAGTGTGGCCAAGGAAGGAGCTTAGTCTAGTATTTCTCATGCGTCTCAAGTATATGATACTTATTGTTAGATGTAAAATGACACTCCGTCCTAATTTTTACATTACAGATACAGCAAAGATTTTTGTTGAGTAATCTTGCCCACGTACATATTGCAAAGAGTTATAAAATTAAACAGTGTCGAATTAAATTTATTTTATTGTTGATCAACTTTAAGTGAACTACCCAAAAATATACATACATTTGTATGTAATGATTTCCAACGTATGTGATTTCCAATGTGTGTATGAAATGTACATATAGCTTGTTTCAGTTATATATGTTGGACTTTAAAAGTTTCTATTTTTTTAATCCACCATTTCACGGCGAAAACTGAAAAATCTATGCAACCAAATTAAATTAATTCCGATAGCTGCACTACCAAAGAATTTTAAATTTACAAGAATCAATCCAGTTTTTTTTTAGAGAATTTTAAAATCCTAAATATATCACTGAAACAGGCTTAGTACTTATTAAATAATATTCAATAATTTTTATTTCATTGCGACGATTAGTAAATTATTACATAAACCTTTACCACAAAGAAATTTATGGTATGATTTTTTTTATTCAAATGACGTGTGACGTAAAATTAAGAAACGAACATCGGTGCAAAAGTCATCGCCAGAAACAATTTGAATGATAGCGGTTTCAAAATTACCTAAATTGGATAACAATTTTATTTTTATTATTATTAAAAATATTATTATTATTTTTATAAAATAATTCCTCTCCAACTTGATTTTGTTAAAAAATCACAAACGGAATACCCATCAGAAGACCCTGAACTCAGTTTAGATCGAATTTTGCCTTTTCAGTAAACCCTGCACATTGTATAATTTGTTGATACATTGACAAAGCCTACAGATATTTACATGGTTCAAGGTTTTGTGATGGATAAGAAATATTCTTTGTACTTGTAGGTATCTAGTACGTATATAACAATAGAGTAAGAGGAAAAGGTGTCTCGAAATGAGGTCACTTCCCAAATAAATAAACACCCACATTTCACGAGTATCAATGCACAAGTAAGCCACCACTTTGTTTTGTGCTATTTTGCAGGGTAGAATATGAAGTACGGAGTACTTGGGAACACTGGGCAGAGCTAAACATGCATGTTTGTCGTACTTATGCATACCCTGTAAGGTACCATAAAAAAGCGATTGCCTTCACACAAAAAAATACTCCAGTCACTTTTCTCCTTTCCAACGAGTAACAAACCTTCTGCAAACAGTTCTGGGATATAGGTCAAGTCAGGTTTAATACATAATCGCAATATATACTTCGCCACTTGAAAAGGTACCTCACACCTTAGATAAAAAAAGCCGTAAACTAACCTGGATACCAATCACGTAAAAATATTTTTAGCAATTTTCCTCATACCCTTGTTTCCAATTTTTAGGATTTCCAACCCATCCAAAACCCGTTAAAATGAGGATCGCCGTGTTTCTTATCTTGACCTTATCACTCGGCATGATCGCTCGGGGTCAAAATCAAGGTATTAACTAAATTGAAATTAAATCCAAGCAGTTAATTTTGCATTACAATTTGTTTGCCAGAGTTTTGTTCAAGTATGCAAGCCGCGTGTGAAATGGATAACGGGAGTCTTCAGGAATGCACATATGATCCGGTCTCGGCAACTTGTGTGGACTCTACAGATGTCGCATTCATAAATTTGTGTCAAACATTTGGCTGTGACATTAGCGACATTTCGTCTGGCGTCACAACTTGTACTTGTTATTGAGACAATGTATCTGATTACAAAATTAATGCATTATGAGCATTAGTATGCTAATGTATCTGAATGATTGAATGGTTTTTTGCTAAATTTTGGCCAAGTTTTTGGTTATCTGCATAAATAAACAAAATAATTGCTACTATCTACGTTTAACTAAATAATTGTTACATTTGTTACTTGTAAATATTTAAGTATCCAGGTAGTCTGACTTTTGCATCGACTGTCCTCTCGATGTACATACATGTCTTGAGAACAAAAGAAATAAAAATGTTGCCAGATCCTTAATCATTGTTTAGTTTCCTTTATTATAGTACTGAGAAATATTTACTGATTTACATATTTATGTACTTGTTTAAAATTCCAGTCTACAAGTTATCACTTCAAAAATTTTTCGCAATCACGCCATTGATAGGAAATTATTTTTTCCGATTAGTAAATAATTACGCTTATATTATATAATTCGATTTATTAGATAAATATCCTCAGAAATTATAAAGAATTTGAAAAATAGCAATTTTACAATTAAAAACGTCGAGTACATATATCATTTAAATTTAAATTTATAAATTTCCCCTTGGTCATGAGCAAGTGATGGTAAAAGTAAATTTGCAATTATTGTGATTTCATTGCAACCTCATGCAAAATAGTGAGAAGTACTTTAAATTAGTATTATTTGTTTGTTTGTAAACCTTTATTCAAGCGTCAATAATTATCAGTTAGTACAAACTTTAAAAGTCAAATACCCAAAATATTTGTAAAATGTCTCCTTATGCGATTGGATCCATTTTATGCACTCTTTTCAAATGTCGATTAGCATTCCCTTGACACTGGAACCTTCTTCCGCAAACGGGACAATCATCCTCAGTCGGCATTTTGGGATGGGTGGATTCCACGTGGGAATCCAGCTCGTCGTGGGAGTGAAAAAGATTTCCACACTGGAGACAAGGAAAATTGACGAATTTGTGGATGTCCTTGACATGTTGGTCGAGTTCTCCCTTGTCGAAGAATTTCCGGTTGCACAATCGACAAGGGAACACGGGCCACTTGTGGATACCTTCAAGATGCCTGAAAAATAATTAAGGCGTAATTAATTAATGGAGGTATTAAATACTTTTTTTGCTTGTGTTCTACTTCTTGTTTTGACTTGTATATTTTATTTTTATTTTTTCAACTGGAAGGAATGTTATAATTTGCGGTGTCAATTGTTCCTTCAAGGTATGTATTTAAAAGTTTTATAAGTAAAAGTACAAAAAAATTGATAAGCTTTCTCAATATGTGTATTTATAATATGGTTGATAAGCAACTGTGGATTATTTTTGCTTACCTAATTACATGGGTCTTGTACATGAATATTTTCCCACAAACTGAACAACTATGTTGGGACACTTCTTTACCAGTGGATCTGGCAGACCTGTTGCTCAGAAATAAAATGTTTTTACTCTTCTTGACGACACGATAACGTTTTCTTTCCATGGATTTGACCGTCCAAGTTGTCGGAGGTCGGGTGGAGGTGGTTTGAGCTTGATTTTAGGGCGGACCTCCGATAAAAACCTACTCGAGAAAAAGTTGTCAAATTAATTACAATACGAGAATTTATGAAGATTGATTAACTAAAGACCGTTGGTTGAGGAGGGATCGTGGTGAGGGAATAATCCGGAATGTCGCCGAGTGGGTCGTCACCTATGTGTCGAACTTCACCCTCCTCCTCGTCGTTAAAGGGTTCAGTCACGTCCTCAGTGGAATATTCTAGTTTAATTGTGTTTTCTATGTCAATCTGGTCAGAATCGGGGTTATTTAGATAAGGGGATGGTGATGGGTCATTTATGGCGAGGTCGTCATTTTCGGGAAGTGTGGCAACTTTGTCTGAAGTTAAGAGAAAAGATAATTAAATTTAAAAAAATTAGTGTCGCAAATTAATGCGAAGGGGTATAATATGGTAGTAATTGTTTTTGCAAAAGTGTGCCAAAAAATCTCACCAGGTTGAAAGTTCGTCCATTTTACTAACTCTGACACCATGACTTCTAAAGAGGTCACTCGTTCCAGAAGGGCTTCCATGTCTTTAAAATTTCGAATGTGGAGAGAGGATTAAATAATAATTCTTTTACTGGTTTGTGAAAATAAGTTTTTGTGAGTGTTTTCCCAGCTGAATGAAAAGATGGAATGGAGCCACCACCAAGCCGGCTCTGGCCCAAGTCGGGATGCGTTCGGGTACATGAATCGGAAGGAATGGCACAATGCATGCACATTGGGGTTATGCATATGCAGCGTAAGTATGCGTTTGTGACTTGGCTTGGATGAATTGTACTTGCCTTTTTTCATATGCACAGGGGTATAAAATTTTCCAAGAGACTAAAATATGTACCAATTTGGTGTTATTTCACGTTAAATTATGATAGTATTATGTGGTAGAAAGATACGCGTATCATGGGTGGTCACATTTTACATAATAATGAGGAATAATTAATGAAATCGAATTGGGTAAGTTTGAAAAAAATACATCTGGATAATACGACAGATCTAAATATGTACCTGACCGGGTCAGGTACATATTTTAGGGTCAGGCTGACCCTAAAATATGTAGAATGATGGAATCTGTTAAGACACTTTTTGGCATGAAATTTTATGCACTACGAAAGGACAGATCCAACATTATGGGAATGTTGACGTAATGTTGATTTGTAAATTGGTGAATATAATTCTTCTCAGAAGATTTTATTTTTCTTTTCCCACTACTTCTTATAACAATTTAAAATTTATGATAGGTCGAGATTGGAAATAGTAAATTGAACCATTAATTTAAAAAATGCAATTAATAAGTTCATTATAGTTACACAAAATAATTCGATAACAAGTATTATCAGTATTACGCGATGACGAATGCGAATCTTCGGCTATGGTGCTAAACAGGCTTGCTGATGTGGTCGAACCGGCCCATACTGGGTTCGAGCACCCGGCCATAAGACTTCTCACTATGTAAAACAGTTGTTGGTGAGTGGAAAAGGTCCATCACAAATTACGTAATGCCATTTAACTAAGGACAAGGTGTTTTTTTGTTTGTTTTTAAAAATAAGTCATTTCTACTTCGAATAAAAATTTTTGATACGTGATAAAAGTTTTATATATATATATTTTTTTAAATTTTGATGTCCATGTTATGTGTGCTTGCCCCCTTCCATTCAATTTTAAATCTTAAAAGTTAGCGGGCATCCGACGATAAGGGAATAGGGAAAGTTCGACCACATCAGCAACCCTGGTGCTAAATTTGTTACAGACTGGTAATAAATTTATTTGAATGATGAGGAGTTGAAATATTAACAGGCTAGCGGCAAAATTTACTACCAATGATGACAAACTTATTACCATGGTGGTTTAGCTAGGGTAATAAATGCAGAATTATTTTGAGTATATGTGAATTCACGTCTTGCATTATTCGAATTGCAACAACCGATCTATAAATAGATCAACGTCTCTGTAATTCAGAAGAATCATTTTATAAGTTCGCTCTTATAAGACATTTTAAGCTTAGATTTATTTATTTAGTACCTGGCAACCACCCGCTTTATGTGCTCTTTAGCATTACCAAGTTTGTGTAGATTGGCCACCTTGGCGAGATCCAGACAATTTTCCTTTGTGCACAGGGTGGGGAGCATATTGTCGAAAAAATCCATCAGCAGCGGCATGTCGTACTTAAATAGGGAAATTAATTCGGTTAATTTGGGATTCCGATTTGAAGTACTAATAATTTTCTAAATATTGGTTTCCGCACTCTTAGAAATTGTGTAATGATAATTGACTGATATTGGGATTAAAGTATACTTATTTCGTATACTAACTTGGTATAGATATGTACCTTATGAAAGGTAATTAAATAACAGATTTTAAGAATAATTTCAATTTTATCTGGTAATAAATTGTATCCGAGTGGGAATACTCGAATACCCAGTTATTATCAGGACTGAAAAGCTAAATATGCAAGCTCACAGAAATTTGATTGGTTGGTATTATAATAAACTAAACCTTAAAAAGGATTGCTTAGGTGAGTCCCGGATGTACATACAATTACAAGGATGAAATAAAATCTCACCTACCTAACAAAGTTTCAGTATTATCAGCATCACCGCCCTGTAAATATTTTCTTTATACATCTACGTAGTATTTTTATACAAAAAGCTGTACAAATTAAATGATATAATTGTAATTTTGAAGTTGCAGTCCTTGATAGAATTTGGATACAAAACAATCTAATATTTAACCATCCAGTCAATGTTCACAGGGCGGTGATGCTGATAATACTGAAACTTTGTTAGGTAGGTGAGATTTTATTTCATCCTTTTAATTGCACATCCAGGACTCACCTAAGCAATCCTTTTTAAGGTTTAGTTTATTTTAAACTTTTACTTGGTAATCAATGACCACAATATGCACGTATTAAGTAACCTACAGTACTTTTACGACTCAACTTTACTATACTTTTTTCGTCATATGAAAACATGTAATTTAACAAACTATTTTGAAAACATTAATTTGAAATATGTAAAAGATAAATCTATTTTCCACTTCAAGGCGAAACATTTTTAAATTAGGTTTTGCCTGAAATATAAAATTCAATCTCTTTCCGATCACACAGACCCTGGGGACAAAAATGTCAAAAATTCGGTAATCAAAATCGACTGAAAATTATAAAAAGTTATAGGGTGTGGTCTCTCTTCAAACTGTCATCCAATGTTTAGTTCGATGTATTTCTACGTAATTATCTCATCTCAATACATAGTTACTGCTATGCAACCAGGCATATTTAACTATCCGCAACATGAATTTTTCGTCGTAAGGAAAACTTTTTCATTCCTCATCCGATTTGGTTCATGTAAATTTTAAATGAAATATAATTAAATTTGGCACATTTATTACCATCCACTTTTTCCATTTGGGCCTTCAAATTTTTGTAATGTGTCAATAACCCATCACAACAGTGGTTTTTCTTAAATAACTAAACAACTACTAAGAAATCTTGGCTGGCAGCTGTAAATCAGATTCTGCTCAATCATAAATGACTCTGGGCGCTTATTTCATCAAAATCGGTTGAGAAATGACGGTTTTAGAGGCTGTGGTCACTTTTCAGGACCCTACTGAATGTTTACCTAGGTATTTTTCCATAACCATGGACTCACCTAAGAAAAAGACTGGTGGTAATTTCAACCAGCCGGTATATATTTGTAGCCATGGCTAAAGGGCGTAGACTTTCTGTTTATAATCGTAACCACATTTCTAAGAGTGTAAAAATACCGTGGTTTTCTGGTTTGTTAGGAGTGTTATAACACTCCTAACATATCTTACCAAAGACAGTTTCATACCTTATCCGCCGCGTATATAAGTTCTGCATAAAACTCGCCCCAATTGTCCTCAATTTCTCCGGTGTAGCAAAATCTGAGAAAAACGTTCAAGGCTTGCGATCCAATATCGGACATTTCCACCATCCCGGCCTCCTTCTCTGACATCTGGGTGGAAAACATGGCTCTAAAGACGGAACTGCTTGCGGAGAGGATGCACTTGTGGGCTTTGACGTGTTGGTCATCCCTCGTCAGGATTGTCACGTCGGAACCAATCCCTTCCAAGAACATGGCCAACATTAAGTTTTGTTGATTAAGGCGACACACCGACTTTGCTTTGATACCGGCACACGCGGGTTCCTGAAACCCATGTTTGAAATGTTTAGAATACTGGGAATATTTATCTATTAATTTAATTAATTTAATTTAGTCACTCGGTTAAAAATTGCAAGAATTATAGAGTAGAATAAAAGTCGTAGCTAAGCTTTAGTTGAAAGCGAATTAAATTTGTTATTCGGGTATTGGACGAAATAAGTGCTTCAAAATTATAAATTCCCACACTGGTTTCTAAAAGTTGCAACTTGTAACTTTTCAAAGTGAACTTGTCAAGTAAGATGTGTATTATCAATTGTACTACATAAACTTGTAAAATTATATGTACATAGTATTGTACGTAGAATATTCCACGTTGGGCTTGTCGGATTAAAAAGCTTGTAGCGTTAGGATTCTTTATTCTATAAGTAGTAAGCATTAAACCTACCTTAACCGTGTCCACGAATTTGTTGAGAAAGACCGTAAACTTAAGACGTAACGCTAAAGTACCCTCAGTCAGGATGGAATGGAGGTTGGTTGGACAAATGTAGGAACACTTTAAGCCTTTTGCCATATTTGGAAAAACGACATGGGTTAGATTGGCGGATCTGAAGGTTCCATGTGAAAAATAGGTTTCGGGTGTAGAGTCAGCAAATTCTTGATAGGAAAAAAATATATTTATTAGTTAATTTAATTTCAAACTAAAATTATTTTATAAGCATTCCTTGGTGTGTGGTTGGTTAGAAGACCAGAAAAAGCCGTGATTAATAATGATAATAAGATTTTCATTATTGCAAAAAATACAATTTTGTATTGTTTATATTTGGTACCTATATCTGAGTCCCGTTGCGCCAATTCAATAGCACCTTGAGATTCTAGACGTCCAGAAACCTCCACATTTATATTGGTCTCCTCGAATTTTAACATTTTCAACCAGAATCCCATCCATCCGCGGGAATCTTTACAAAAGAAGAATTCCCACCGCGATTTGATCCCGGTTTCTGGTCCAAATTCGAATGGAAGTCGGATCCTTTCCAATCCGTCTTCAAGTCCGAGAAGTATTTTAAAATCTTCGATATCCCACTGCATTTCGATAGCTCGCGTGGGCAACTGAAATATAGATTTTATTGGAATATGTATTTACCATGGATTACAACATATAAAGCATATGCGACAAATTGTTTTAAAATGAAAAAATCGTAGTGATTGATACAAATAATTTTTAAAGACTTATCTATGAAACTCACACGTGTAACAATTCTCGGCCCTTGTACAACAACATTTGTTTCAGTAATGGCTACTTCCATTGCAAAGTCGGGTTAAACTTGGAAATGAAGCGAATGTGATGTTTTTTAAATTCGACACTTTTGGAGTTGAGATTTACAAATTTTATGTTGACGTGCTTTTAAAAATTAAATTAAATATTATTGTCTAAAAAATATATAGCAGTAATTCCCAGCGAGAAAGGGAGGTTGTCGTTTTTCTTAATACAATCTAGAAATGAAGGGTAAGATAAGCTTTTATTGGAAGGGTTGAAGTATGTAAAAAAGGACGCCTGACAGTATTGGCCCAGGATTATTTTTAGATAGATATATATGTAGTCAGTTATTGGACGTCCTGAGTAAATGTGTTTCAAATTCTGCAGTTATATTCAAGCGACATGGTATGGTTTACTTTATACTTTTTACCACTCTTTTGCATCTTGAAGACCGATATATGTATAAGTAGGGGTATAACTTATATCGTAAAAGCATGTTTCCTAATTTAAACATTCATTTAAATTAACCTTCACACAATGGTTGCATTAGGAAGGGAAGGGTTGCAGACAAATGATATTTATAAATATCGCTTGAAGGGTTTCCTAAAGTTATTTTTATTCGAACCTTTGACCATATATTTGTTGGAGTAGTTTTTAAGCTTGGAAAGTATTCCTTCATCTGGATGAAGATATGCTGAAAGCTTACCCAAAACCTGAAAATACATAAATCCACATATTGCTTTGTACAAAGTTCTCATCCATTTTCGGTGATGGCCTTAGATATGTAAATTGACCATATAATCTTGTGCGCTTCCCTACTCCTACAAGTTGCTCAGGTTATCAACCTTAGGTTGAGGAGTATAATAGTTGGACATGCATATACATACAGGCATATATCTAAGAAAGCATACTTCCTACCATCTACATGTGGTGGATGGGGACCGAAAATGTGTAAGATCTATGTATTCGACGATTAAAATAAACGTCAGTACAAATTGTTAAACATTAGAATTTTCACAGTATATTCGCACAAGGTTTTCAATTCTTTAGACAGAGACAGTTCAGAATTAAGAAATTGTAATTTTTAAAACACATAAATTCTGAGGAGTATGAAATCTCCATACTTTCGAGATTAAACTTAGGTGATGGTAATCGAAATTTATGCAGTTGGGCGTTTTTGCCGATGTACTTGTATTGTCGTTGTACTATTTGTGTACTTATTATTTCGATGGACCGATTCCGGTGAAATTTTGGAAAAATGCATATGGCTAGGAAACACATATTTCGCTTCTGGTATTCTAACCCAACACGGAATATCAACTTGATTTTTCCCAATGACTATTCCTTTCTAAATCTGGTTAGAAAGCATCACGTAAAAGTACAAGGCACATGGCTTTTGTCAAATAAAAAAACTAATCTTTGCATAGATCGAGGTAGGAACTATGTTTAGCGACGACAGGGACAACAGGATATGAAGTTTTACCAATCGCATGTTAACAATGTGTTGATGAACTACTCTGAAATTTGTTCAAGGCACGACGGTCTCTGGAGGAAACACGCAACAAAGTTCATCAGTTTAGTTCCTTGCACGGAGCAATACCCTCTTAAACCATATTTGGAATCTATACATAAAAAGCATGCTTTGGTATCGTGTAAAATGAAGATTTGAAACTTTGATATTAGATCTTAAAACCTCTGTAGCATCGGGCCAGATATTTTACTGCTAAATTGTTCGTTTATCAGCTCCCTTCATTTAAAGGAGGTAATTTGTAGTATCCACTTTGTGGATACTACATACATACGTATACATTTACTATATACAAAAAGGTTGAATTACATAACATGTAATACTATATTTTCGTGCGTATTCATTTTTTCATACTTGTGAATATTTACCTTATCTGGGTTTTACGCGCTGGTATAAAGAAGTAAAATGGTGTTACTCGCGGGTAACTTCTTTTTGAAATTATGAAATCCTTAATCGCACCCGGAATAGAGTTTAAATACTTGAGAACTCTAAAGAATAGCACCGACATTCTATGAGTTATATGCTTTATACTGTGCCAAATATTTCGTCTACTAAAAATCACCCACTCAGCCGTCAACAATTTTACGGCCAGTGCAAACGACATTAAAATCACGACAAAAATTATTGCAATTCCATCACTAATTTTCAATTTCTTCACTCTTGATCGTTCATACTGGGTGGGTGGGTAGAAGAGGGGCATTGATTCATTTAGCGGTTTCCATTTAAAGGTGCTAGCGTAAAATGGTATTCGTTTCTGAAAATCGCGTACCTCCGATCTCATACTTTGGATTCTCTTACGGGACATGTATGCAAAACAGCCAGTTTCTTGTAAGGCATTTAGCATCATTTTGATATTCGAATTTCCTCCAGACTTCAAATAATAGGCTTCCGATGATTGCATAATTGGTTTTCTTCCGGTGTAAAAACGTTTCCAATGATGTGTCCTAAAACTTTTTTATTGCATCAGAGAAAATTACTTGGTATAATCAATGGGTACATACCTGGCTAGTTGTTCGTAGGCGTCTTGTATAATCTCCACTTCATCTGCCCAAATCACCCTGTTACATTTCATTAGTTCATTAACTATCTTGACCTTGTCAGGAATCAAGATAGGCCACATGTCGCCATTATATCCTACATCGTAGAAATGGTTGGGATGTAGAAGACTGTACAGCAAAATGTCCAAACGATTTGTGGAAAGGAAAACCTTTGAGGCCTTACATAAATAAAATTATTAATTTAACTAAATGAAACTGGACATATTTTAATAATAGATATTTCATAGTACCACGCTATACATCTTTAGTTGTTTTGCTGATGTTGGACTTAATTCAAAGCCATCGATTGAGCCCTTCATGTAAGCGACTACACCACTGAAAAAGTTGTGCCCGGACCAGCGATATTCATATTCAGTGGTGACGTTAAGACCGACTGGGTTACGTGTCGAAAATATCTTAAAGTCTGTCACATCGCTAAATGGCCGTGACCCGAATAATTGCTCAAACTCGGTATCAACCCAAATATGCGAAGGACATCTGTTTGACCCTGTCAAATTTCTGGTGTCATAATTGCAAACTGGGGTTGTCAGCTTGTCGAAAGTTGTCACCCGAGTAGGAGGGAATGCTGAAGATAAAGCCGTTATAAGTACTCCAACATACCCTTGCGTCAATACAATAGACACGACAGAGAAAATTCCCATTGATATTCGAAAAGACGTGGAGCATAATAGTGTTTTTGGCCATGGTAATGATTTCTCGAAGAAGGCAGCAATGATTAGCAGTTGGGCAGAGAAAGGTCCTTGAAGATTGGGATATAGAAATTTTACATATTCGACGATTAGCAGTGTCAAAATGGTGGCAGTTAAACAGACAGCAATCCAGCACTCAGTTTGGAAAGGCGGTATTAGTAGTTGGAAGGTAAATGGTGTTTCGGACCAGCATGTGATGAAGTTGTAGCCGGCCGTGTTGACGGATAGCACCTCCTCCCATTCGTAGGTATTGTAATTTCTGTGAAATTAGAAACGTCCAGAATGTGTAATCGATGTATATAATAAGAATATATTAATTTACATACCTTACCACACCACTACGCCTCTTAGGCTTCGACAATAGCGGATGTCCATTACCGTCGAAAAAACTGCCCTCTGATCTACGTAATTGTATGGAGTGGCGAATACTAAGATTTTTATTATACTGCAAAATTTGTTTCATAAGCGAGGTCTCCGACTTCTCAATCCCTTCAAGATATACAATTCTAGGAACGATTTTTCTCCGCAACTCTTCACGAAAGCAGTTCCAGCCTGCACATACCACATGATTTCCATCTAACAAGGGACCCCGTAATTGAATTATTTCATTCACAACTTCCCCAACAATTTCTTCGTGCAGAGATTTCTCATAAATGTGAGATAGATATCGCCTTCCGTTGGTTACACATGAACGGCATGGGATTACGATCACTGAATAAAAATACCAATTAACCCGATGCTTGCTTGCTACTTGATAAGAGAAAAGTAATTTTGCGCTCAACTTTTCTTTCGTTTCACTAGAGAACAAGAACACCTGTAATTTCTCTTTCAAACGTGACAAGGGCAGAACTGTGGTTACTGATTGATAAATTCCCGACTTTCTACACAACCTCAAATCCCAAGATTCTGCTAGGGAAAATACGAAGGTATTAAACTTCCGTTTATGCATATTACTCTTGCTATGTTCCGCTGAAAGTGAGGTCGTACTTGACGTCAAGAATAGAACGGCGAGGCACTGAATGCTCTTGACATCCTGGTATTGCCAACCACCAAACGGATTACTTTTTTCTGGAACATGCTTTTCCAGTATAGGTGTATGTCGAACCAAAGGGTCACGCCAAATACAATGATCTTTAGACTAAAGTTTCTGCCGTATTGATCGAGATAGGAATTTCGGGGAGGAATGGCTCCTGAGTATAGATGTTTGCTTTAACGTTTTCCACAATAATGTGAACTTCACAACTGTCTAATTTGAAAACGGACAATAAAGAGATTAGCTCCATTTTAATAATGCTGGAATTTTATCAGCGGGATGGCTCTGCTTTGCCTCCTGACGTGGCAAGAACCTAGAATATTTACCCATGTATGTAGACTTAGGACCACGAATACGTTACTTTCCTAATAAGAGTAAACCCTATTTTAAGCTCGTTTCGTGCGCCCATGTCGAATCGTTTAATTTTGGAAATGGATCACGTAAACGGAAAGCTGTCAGGTATGCACGTAATGTTTGTATGGGTTCTTATACAATTTTAAGCAAATATACTTCGGGTGCTAAAGCAATACGGACGGTTGACGGTGTAGTATCCAACGCGACCATGCTAATCCCACAATTTATTTAACCCTGGTAGTATCCCTTATTACTCACAGGATTCTACGCCTTGTATTGGCTTTAAAAAGTTTAGATTGTTTGCAAACAATGGTCGTACGCCTCGGTTACAGGTTTAAAGTCTATACGTAAACGGAAAGGGGGGAATTCGAGAGGGATCACTTTTATATAGTTAGTATGTACATACAAGATAGTTTAAATTGTTTTTTTAAGAAAATTGAACTTAACTGAA